GAACATATGCTCATTTGTATCAGATTGTTTAGTTTACAAATACATCATGTAGTTTAGAAAATATACGTTTATTTGTGAATATATTGTTTCCATTTTGTATTTTTACTTTCATCAATTGATCCCTAATAAATCATGTAGTTTAAATATATGTTCTGCATACAATTAAAATCAAATTCTGTAACTTTGTATATTTATGGTCAAAATAAGCAAAAACCACAACTATCAATTTTTCTGCCCATTCGGATTTTGTTGGATAAATATGAGACTGAGTCATCCTTAATTGCTGGTAAAGGAAATGAGACCATAGATAACATGCTTTCTTTGACTTATGACTGAAAATAAGGAAGACTATTGAAGACACTCACACATTTATCATTTACTCATTTAATTTGCATTTAGCAATCAATCTTCTTATAAGTTGTTAAAATATTACAATCACTACACAGAAAAACTAAATTGGACTAACAGTCTAAGAGTCTACAGACTAAAAATTTGGACTTACAGTTTACCAATTTTGCTAATCATCAACTCAACACAAATTGCTAATTTTCTACTTGTAGTGCTGTTACTTTTTTTAATAGCGAAATAACATTGCCCACAAAAATAATTTTATTTTAATGTCTACTGTCGGAAAAGGATAAACGACCAATAATAGTTTGCTAGATATTTTGTAAAAAACATTACAAGGAAATTAAGGAAATATACTTTTCCTATTCCAATTTTTAAAATTATACTGTACTTTTTTTGCTTCCTGTTATGGGTTCTATTCACAAACGAGTTCACATTACCGACTTGTTTCTTAGTGCTCATCTTGTCCAATCAATAAAATCATCCTCTTTGACATACTACTTTTAAAAATAAAAATAATATTCATTTTCTTGTAAATATCAAGAACTTCGAAATTCCATCTGATTGATTCAAGAAGAGTGGATTACAGAAGGATTAAAAAGATCGAAATTAACTAAAAAGATCCCTAATTTCCTAATTAATTAGTAACAACAATACTTTACTTTTCTTTAATCATTTTTTTAAAGAAATTTTTTTAAAAAGTAAACTTTTTTCAAGGAAGAAAAGCAGGAATGATGGCAGAAGTGAACTGTGAAGGACGTTGAGGAGGAGGAGGAGAAGTTCGATCTTTACTCTGATTCTCCGCCGTGGAAGCACGGTGGCCACACCGATCACACTTCACCGGAACTAAAATCCGACGACAAGAAGGGCAAGAAGACCGAGAAGTCAACCATTTGTCAATACACGCCACGTGGAAAGAATGGTTACATAGTGGCAAGATTCTGATTTCTTCGCCGTCGGAAAACTCCGTCAAGCAAATCGCACACTCGGTGGAGGAGTCACCGGCTCCGACGTCGGCGGAGGAGGAAGACGGCGAGACTCCGGCGGATGAGGAGGAGGATGTGAAGGTTGATTTAGGGAGAGATTGAAGTACTTTTTTCTTGAGACCTTTGTTCGGCGGCGGCGGAGATTCTCCGACTCCGATGGAGGAGGAATTAACTCCGGCGAGACGACGGAGCCAAGCGCAACGAGCTACGGCGGCTAAACCTGCTACACAGATAAGAGCGCAGAGAAGAGCTGAAAGAATCACAACCATGTCGGTTTCCGCCGCGAGGATTTCTGCCGGCGGTGGTGGCGCCGCCGTACCAAGGAATCTAGAGGATCGAGTCATTTTTGTGTGTTTTGGAATTTT